CTTCAATGATTTCTTGATGAATTCTTGTTGTGCCTTCCCTTTATTGCCAAAAAACCAGAATTTGATCGTCAAAGAATTGAAATCTTGCCATTGCTTCTTAATTGCCCCAAAAGATTGATGAATTGTCATCTCTTTTCTTGTAATAATTGATGAAATAGAATATATGAGGTTTTTTTGAATGTTGCCCACGTTCTTGTATTTAAAATCTAGGTCAAAATCGCGTTGAAATTTGTTTTGAAGTAGAGTTCTGATCAAAGAAGGAAAATAGCCCCGTCTGGCAAAATTAACTTTGCGCCGTGTGACGTTTTCTCTCTCAGGTTCTTCTAGATAGTGTGGCGCGTGTGCGCCATTACTTCTCCACTGCGCTAGCCATGTTGCATCTTTGCAATTGGTACCTAAACTTCTAGGTGGCATATTTAGGCCCTTTCTTCATGCAATTTTCATCCTTTAACTTCCAATTGCATTCAGTTGAACCTGTATAGTCTTCATAATTGTTGTGTGGTCCTAGTCAACTATTAAAAAGTTGCACTTTGGCCCTGAACTTTAGAAATTATTTGTTTTTCGCTTATTTTCACTCCTTTTGATCAATTGCCATCCAGACTTGGTTATCACCTACAACAATCAGTATTTAAACACATTAAGTAGTATTTTATTCGATTATGTCCCAAGTATCCACTTTTGAAGACCTAATTAGTTGTAGAAATTACTCTTATCACCTAGGCTGATAATTAAAAGCTTAGAAAATCATCTAGAGAAATGAGCACACATCTCATCCATTCTAAGGCTTTGTGAAGGTGTAAGCTTTGATAAATGACAGTGTGTGTAAGATATGATGCATTGAATGAAAGCATTATGTGTGAAGTGGGACTAAGGCATAAACCTCAGACAACTTTTTTAAAACAATGTCAATGAACATCCAATCTTGCCACATAACCTTCATAGTGTTAAAGCAGTTACGATGAGATCTCCATTTTGTATAAATATAGTTGTCTTCAACTGAATACTTGAGCTGCATTTCCCGTCTTGTAATGCACGAGTTATTGCATTACAAACTTGTTTAGGAGTAGATGGCTTTTTGATTTCTAGTTGCATGGAGTTGATCAACCATGAATTGACCTATGAATTTTCAGCATTCGACAATAACAAGTAGGGTTTGAGATATTTGGTTTCTCAATCATACATGCAATTTTCCCATCTTTCTTGTTCCTCAAAGTTGCACAAGCCACAGCTAGTGACCAACCAAAAAAGATTAAAGCTATTCAGTTTTTTAGATGTGATTGTGAGCAAGATTTCAAGTAGTTGGCATTTGATATCGAAGGACAAGTATGTAGAAAGGAAAAATAAGGTGGGGGTAAAATAAAATGGGATAGCCAACCAAAGTTCATCGGAAAAAAACAGAGATAATGGTGATAATGCCAGTAACGAAAAACATCAGGAAGAGAAATTAGAATATCGTTTTGAGTCTCTAATGTGGGTAGATGAAGGAAAGAGGAGAGATAACTTTTCACTTCTTAGGTTTTAGCTATGTCTACAAGGTATAGATACATGACTGTACAACTAGTGGAAAGAAAAATTTAATATACAGCTACACAATCCCTACAAACACTCCATACTCCCTATTAATTATATGTAATCATTGATCAAACCAAAATCTATGAACCTGTAGATTGAGGTATTACCTAGTGGTTGGTGGGAAAACTAATTTACTTGCATATACTAGTAAACCAATTTATACATGCACCACTAAAGGTAAATCTTTAAATGTGGACTTGAATCTATTAATATGGAACATTTTCTTTTCTAAGGAAAATCCCCTAGTATATGAAAGATCCTAGTTTTTGCAACATTAGCGTTCTATGCAAGAAGAAGATACAAAGAAGTTTTATAAAAAGAAGTATGCTTAGGCAGTTATTTCGATAAGCACAACAGAATGAAGAGAAATTTGTATCATTTCAAGTCATTATTCTTATCGAAGAGAAGGAATGAGATACACTACTTGAAAGCAATATTGGGAAACATAATTCATAATTCAATTTCCAAAAGACATTAAGATGAAGCTAGAAGTTTATACAGATAGATTGGACTAGTTTGATTAAGGATCAACGATCAACTATGAGGTATTGTACCTTCAGGCACGAAATCTCAAAAGTTGGAGGAGCATGAAACAATCTACATTTGCCCACTCTACTGTAGAAGTAGTGTAATGCCATGGCACAAGGAGGATGCAATTTTTCGTAGGTAAAAGATATACTTAATAACTTTAAAGGATGGTGAATCTAGGATGTATTGTGACAACGAAGCAGCTATCAACTTGCTCGCAACTCAATTCATCATGACCTAACCAAGCACATGGAGGTTGGATGCCATTTCATAAAGGAAAAGATGGACAACAGTCAGGTTTGTGTACCAAACAGGTCAATCAAGAAACAACTGACATCCTAGCTAAATGACTAGCCTAAGCAACGTTTAGTCAAATCCATAACAAGTTTTGGATGAGAATTATTTCTCACCAACTTGATTGGGAGTGTTGACATTTTGAACATCATATTTTTGGCAACTTTGAATTTCACCAGATTTGAGTTAAATTTTTCTAGTATATTAGTCAACAAATTTGGGTATTGTGTTTAGATTTTTTCATATGCAAAGCCTGACGTAGGATGCAATCAAATAATTATAGGAAAAGGGGAAAGAGGAGAGGAGAGGAGAGAAAGAGGGAGAAAAGAGAAAAAGAGAGAAATGTGAGAAGAATTAGACTGGCGGAAGTAAAGTTTAAGGGAGAGAATATCTTTATTTCATTATCAAAATTATTGTTATTACAAAGCATAAGTTTCCTTACAATTGAATGTAGATTGGAAAAGTGTGTGAACGAACAATGACCTTGAAAAACGTGGCAATCTTGGGAATGTTATGTAGAGGAGTTTAAGTCATATCAAAGTTAACGTTAGAGTTACAAAATAAAATTAGGCAAGAATAACTTCGGCATAAAATCGAGGAAATGTGGTGTAACGATCTAAAACTTACCCTTTGAGTCGTTAAATGCGTATCGTAAAAATAGAAATTGCATAAAAGATAATTATCCCCAAAGTTACAATAATTAAAAATAAAACTTTCTTAATCATTAAATTTATTGTTAAAAATTCATAAATTATCTATTCTTTATTATGCCATCAGTGGCCAGTTCCAAACTCCTGTGCCTCGAATCTCAATTATCCAAAAGGGGAAAATCATCAATAATGAAATAAAATTCCAATAAGTGAGCCACATAAATCGTAATTCATATTTAAAATTTAGTAATTTTTAACGTACATAAGGAGGCATGTGGATTAGAATCTGAACTTAAGTGGTCATAATTCCCGTACATACTTTTAACATACTTAGGTAGACACGGGAATTAAGAATAGTACTTCGTTGCTATAATTCCCCTGCGTAGTGCTACTGAACTCTGTTCCATTGAATTTAAAGATATATGATCCATATCATATTCATAAATCGAATTACGTATAAAGTATGAAAAACAATTTAACATGCAACATATGACTGCACTTACCTCCTAAATTTTAAGAGGATATCATAAAATATGTACAGAAGAACTTGAATATACAACATATGACTGCGCTTACCTCGTAAATTTTAACATATTATAAAAACACGTACAGAAGAACTTAACTTCAAGCAATCATTTATGAACTCCGTGCGTCTAGTGTGGGGCTATCATAGTTACACACGTATATAGATGCACTTAATTATGGTAATCATATAATTTAAATTAATCAACCATAATTACATATAATTATACATATATAGATGCACGTAATTATAGTATAATTATAGTAATATTATAATTTAACTCGATCAATCATAATTATATATAATTATAGTAATATTATAATTCTATCTTCTTTCTTTTTTTTTCTTTTTCTTTTCTTTCCCTTTTCTTCCTTCCCCTTTCTGCTCTCTATAAACCTAATGTTGTCGTCGAGAGAGTGGAGAAAGATAGCGACAGTGCTAGGTTCTCTTTTTCTTCTTTCTTCTTTCTTTTCATTTTCTTNTTTTTTTTTTTTTTTTCTTTCTCTCTCTGTATTGGTAGTTTAGGGTTTTGTTTGTATAAAATGAAAATGAGTTCCATATCGTAAGTTCAAATTCCAATCAAGTCTCTCATTTTCTATTTTATATAAAATTTAGTAATTCCCCATAATTGAAAACTAAACTCAAAAATTTTATTTTATTCATCTTGACCCCTTATTCAATACTTATTTCCTTCTTTGTGAATAATTGATTTTGGTCTATTCAAAATGACATTTTGGATTAGTAAAAAAATTGAAGTTTGATACCCGTGTCTGAAATTTGGATTTTTTTTAGCCATATCCCTATATTCTACATTTTAGAAAATAAAATACTCGACACTTAGATACGTACTCGTACTCGAGTCCGAACATCATAGATTATACATATATAGATGCACGTAATTGTAGTAATCATACAATTAGATTAATCAATCATAATAATATATTCATACATATATGGTAGTTTACTTATTTAGGAAGGAATCTTCCTAGCTTATCTTTCACATATAAGGAAATTTACTTAATTTTTACAATTAATCATAATCATATATAATTATATACAATATATAGATACGTGTAATTATAGTAATCTTATTATTTAAATCAATCAGTCATAATCATATATATATAATATATAGATACAGTAAGACATCGTAATTATAGTAATAACATAATTTAAATCAATCAATCATAATTGTATATAATTCTATGCATATATAGATATACGTAATTATAGTAATTATATAATTTAAATAAATAAATCATTATTATATATAATTATATGTATATAGATTCACGTAATTGTAGTAATATTATAATTCAACTTGATCAACCATAATTATATATAATTATACATATATAGACAGACGTAATTATAGTAATCATACAATTAAATCAATTAATCGTAATTATATATATTATATATTCACATATATATGGTAGGTATGTTTATACACGGAAGGTGATTGTCGAGACTGGGGTGGTAGACCTAGTGTATGATATGCTCATTGAAGACAGAAGGAGATGTACCAAAGGTTAGCCTGTTGGTAAGCGTCATCTAAGGATTTATTGCATGAATGTTGTCGGGCAATATTTCAAAATTCAACCCATTCGGAAACTTACATGCTATAATGTGAGGATCTTCATAAATACAATAATTGTTTTTGAAGTGGGCTAGATATTACTTAACAGTGGATATACATTGTCTAGAGTTCAAAAATAATTGATCTAGTAATTGAGTTTACTCAGTAGTGTATTTATTACTTAAGACTCGTTTCTTCTCATCCCACGAAGTGCAAAACGTTGACTTAGGAGATCAATGTCAGCATAAAGGACTTGCAATAACACCTAACAGATTGTATAATTGCCATATTAGCATGACAAAATGACGAGAGTCAATCAAGTAAGTCGAATTTTTTTTTTCAAGAGAATCGAGCCAAACAAGAAATAAGTCAGGTTCAATGAGACCATTGAAGTCCCATAGTTGGGATGCAACTTATCTAGAAGGAGAATGTACATCCTCGATAAAGTTTGTAGACGGGAGATAATTGTAGGGTTAAGGGGAAAGGGAAATCACATTATTGTAGTATTGACCTAGGGGCATGTTATAGTTGTAAAAAATCTATTTTTTAAACCTAAAAGCTTTTCTTTATTCTTTAACCTATATAAGACCCCTTTATATAGGTTTTCAAGGATTCTATTCTAAGTAGGACATATCTAATAAAATTTATTAAATCAAACCCTAATTATGTCTTTTTAAAATATGCATCAAAATTTGGAATTTAAATTATATAGTATCTCTTCTAATATTCCATCACAGCCACTTGTGTCAATATTTATTCCTTTACTGGAGGCACAAAGCAATTTAGGCAATTGAGGTTTATGCGTGTAAATAGCTTGTAACCCTATTGAATTATAACATAAGATTCATAGTTCAGTTTTGTCATAGTTCTTCATAGTTAATATTTCTATGTTGCTTTCTAGGAGTTCACTCTGGGTTAGTTAATTTCTACATATCTTGTCTTGATGCAATTCTCCATTTCGTCTACTAAAAATTGCATTTCAGGTCTGGCTGAAGGATTTAGACATTCGTTGTTAATTGCTAGCTTAGCTGTTGTAGGAACTGCTAAAGCAGCAAAATGGTAGTGAAGATCAAATGTGTAGTGAGTGACTTGAAGCAAAAAAATATTATCTAGGAGATAAAGGATATTGGACACCATTAGTGCATGCTTTGGCATCATTTTTTTTATTGTCCAACATGGTTTTAGTAAAATCATGGTTTTCTGGTCCTGTGCACCACGAGTCTGATTCTAGCTCTTGCCAGGATGCTTTGTTGAAAAGCAATGAAGTTTTCGAAACATTTAAGCAAGAAATCGAGAAGGTACATACTCTTATCTTATCTTCTTAAGATAATTGTGTTTTTTCATTTCAAAACGATGTAATCATGCAGATTTCTTTTCAAAATTTTACGAGCATATTTTTGTTTTAAAACCAGATGGCAAAATCGATAAAAGAACTCAAAAAGGAAAACACCTTCTTGAAGAGCAAGTGTGACAAAACAGACGTTACTCTCATAGAACTTGCTGATGAGGTAAGGTTTGCTCATACTTGCGTAAATGAGAACTACCTGTTGTAGGATATCTTTATAATTTTCACTGCTTAGAATGATTTCTCATTTTTTCTCTGGATCCAAATGGATACTATGCTTGACCCTAAAGTAAACCTAGCAAGGGAAACTTGGTAGATTGGTCACCAGTTCAACCACGAGCTTAAAGTGTTTGAATTGGTGATTTCCGAAATATAATAAAAAAGTTGGGAACACTTTTGAAGATGTAATAAACTTGACAGAATCTTTGGCATTTAAGAGAAGTGAAGCAGACGGCATTTCTTGCTAGCTAGCCAAGACATTCTTCTCAACTTATATGCATTATTACCTTCCCTTTTTATGTTAATTCATGAAAATGTGATAGAACTGTGACACTTTCTGTGGGTAAACCAGATGAATACCTTGTGTAAATGCACAAAAAAGATGTACCTAAAACATTGTAAGCACATTGCCGACATTACCCCTTCCCTACCCCATGTCCAATCCCCACCAAAAGAACTTCAGTTTAGATATCATCCCCCGCCATCATTTGCTCCCCCAACCCTGCACATGTAATTTCTGGATTCTGTATTTCTTTTGGTGATTTATGTTAATGGAAAATTATCATAACTCATGAGATTTCCTAGTCACATGTCACTATGCCTTACAAGATTTTATAGTGCCAGTTATTTTGAATTAAAAGTTCCAAGTACATATTTAAGTTCTTTCTTTGAGCAGCGCGAACGCTTGAAGAAGCAACTGGAGAAAACACGAAATCAGAAAGAAAAACTTGAATCATTATGCCGGTCACTTCAATCAGAGCGGAAGGCAAATTCTGTTGGGGGTAATAGCTCGGATTCAGTTCATGTTTAAATTATTGCCTTTGAATTATGTATGGATCTTGCTGCATCAGTTAGCATCCTAGATTTATGGAACTTCCAAATTTTATTCCATACTTTCAGTTTTGAAAGCGAATTCCCCATATTTTCAAGTAAACGTGTCTATAAAAAATTTTGTTGCCATAAATGGGATTATAGGGTTTCAGAATGTATCCATGTAAAAAATGTTGCCTAATACTTTACAATCACCTCGTTTACTATATCTGCTTCTTTTATTTGTTTTCATGATCTGGACACTCGTGTTAATTATTTTCTGTTTTTCATCTACTTGTGTTGCATGATATTGTCAAATCTCTGGCTGAAAACTCTTTTGAGTGTTTGCTCTTCCTTATTGTGTTGTAAATGCTGTTGAAAATAAGCCATTTACGTACTAAAAACCGCTCTCATTAAGCTAGAAACTAGAAACAGATCAAGTCATATTAAGCTATATCTTTTGAAGGTGGTAGGTTATCGTATTTTTTGAAGAATCAGTACGTGTATTGATGTGGCATAATGCAAGAATAGGTTCTATTGCTTGCCGTGGTATAAATTGCACATTGCGACCTTCACCAGAAGGATAGTGCAAGTTTTAGAGAAGTAGGATTACTATCTGTGAATATAGTATTTTGCCATCAATCTAGCTTTAAATGTCTCAACTAGAGGTGGCAATTGAGTCGAGTAGCTCATCGACTCATAGGGGATCGCACAAGCTGAGCAAGGAGCTCGGTAGACGAGCTAAGATGCTTGGCTCACCATTTCAGATGAGCCAACTCAAATGAGCGGCTCATGGCTCACCGAGCGTAATTGACCGAAAGTGACCGCTTTGGTCAATTTTATTTATTATTATTATTATTTTTATTTTATTTTATTTTATTTATTTATTTTTTTTTTTTGGAGTTTGAGACCCATTTTCAACGGTCTCAAACTTTGAATATGACCGCTGGTGGCCTCCACCGGTCACTGGATTTTTTTGCTCTCTAAGTACCTCACAATACAAACAATTTTTTCATACAAAACAATCAACAAAAACTCTCTTCTACTCTCGACAATTCTAAAATTTATTCATTATTACATACAAATATACAATCTATTACATATAAACATACATTCTTTATTTATTTGCATTCTATAATTATTATTGCATTCAAATTTCAATTCTATTATGTTAGCATACATTCTCTCAATTCTATTCTCTACACTACAATCTTCATTATCCAATTTATACATTTCATCTTTATTCTCTACGCTTCATTCTTCTATTACATACACATGGATCCTCATGATTTTGTTGAGAGCTTGTTCGGTGGCCACTCACCTATGACATGACAATCTGAAATTCCCAATCAATTTCTTAGTCTCAGCATCACCATCCCCGAAGATTTGTCGGGAATGGCTATTGATGATGATCATGAAAGTAGTAATTCAATTGATTTGGATACCATCGAAGCAAATGTTGGCGAAGCGAAATTACAAAATTTTGATGCAAGAGGAAAGCAGAAGGGAAAAAAGCTACAAAATGTTGACAACACTTTGAATTAATTTCAATGGGTTGTACCATTGATGGAGTCCAAGAGTTTAAGGCTGTGCAAATACTGCCAAACACGATTGACATGGCAAAATGGTATTTGTACTCTCCATCTCAACCGTCACTACGCCAAATGTAAGGCCAAACATGGGTTTTGTTGGTGGATCTCAAACACAACTAATCTTTGGTACTCCTCCTTCTGGTGGTAGCGGTTCTTCAACATTGAGCACATGCATGTATTCAAAAGAAAGAGCTCGTGAAGGAATGGTGAAGTTCGTTATCGGTGTTGAGTTGTCACTAAACATTTCGAAGAAAAGAAGTCGTGAAGAACAACCATTTCACAACATTAAACGTTCTTTGTAATGATACACTAGAGTATTTCGTTAGAACTAAGAACAAATTAATTAGTGATTTACATAAATATGGTGGTATTATATCTTTTATTTCAGATTTATGGGGATGTATAAGTAAAAAAGATTATATAACAGCAATTGCGAATTACATAGACCCACTTTGGGTTATGCATAAAAAATTTATTGCTTTTAAGATAATTGAGTTTCATCAAAATGTTAACAATATTTTTCACTTTTTCATACAAATTATTAGGAAATATCTCTATGAAAGTAAAACTTCGTTCTTTTGTGTTTGATAACGCTAGTGTTAACTAGCTTGTTATAGATAAACTTTGTAGATTACTTAATCCTGATTTTGGTGATTTTTTTGTTTCATGTTCATTGTGTGTATCACATTTTTAATTTAATTGTACAAGATTGTATGTGACATAGTAAGGATCAAATCGATAGAATTAGGGATGAACTTGTATATATCACCATATCACTAAGTAGGAAACAAGTATTTGAGAAACTTTGTGTACAAGTTGGCCAAGATCCCAAAAAATTTATAATGATGTAAGGTATAGATGGAACTCCACTTGCTTATTATTAATATCATATGAAGGCTATGAACATTTAATCATTGAATTTTATAACTCTAGGCATGTAGGAAATGTCGATGATTTTGTTTTGATTGATTCTGATTGGGAACTAGCCTTTAAAGCTAAAATTTTTTTTACGAGTTTTTATGATTCGACAAATATCTTGTTTGGGGTATACTACACCATTAGTTCAAGAGTTCTTGAATGTCTTTTTGTCAATGCAAGAACTTTTCAAAAATACAAAAATGATCCATCTTTTACCGAAATTTTGTTTTCTACGGTACTGAATTTCTAGAAAAAATTGTGAAGACATTTCTAGATTATTTTCTTTGACAAGCATAATGGAAACCAGCTACAATATAAAAGGCACTAAATATGTTATTAGACAAATAACAAACTGTTTGAATTTTGACGCACCTATCACTTATTCAAATTTAGAAAACACATTAACTTTTATGTACGAATTGTATTCATAGTGTTAGGGAGCAAATATTATTCGAGCACTTGTCACACCTACCCCTTCTACTAATCTTGAAGAAGACGATGTAGAACTAGTGAATTTATTTGAAGGCATTAGGGATAAAAGATATGATACAAGAGGTTCTTCTAGTATGTCTCTTGCATATAATTCGAAATGGTATGCAGATCCTACCGGAATACCTGTTGAATTAATTAAATATTTAAATCATTAAATACTTGAGAGCATAGAACCCGTTGATACTATACATTTTGGTTTACTTGATTTTTGGCGAAAGAACGTACAAAAATACTTGATTTTTCTATCATTGCGAAAGACCAACTAACAGATCTAGTAAGTAATGTAGCTTTGGAGTCCCTTTTGAGTGCAGGTAAGAGAACTCTGAAAGAAAATATTTGGTAGTATTGATGTGCGTAAAGGATTGACAAGATGCAAATTTTCTAATACAATGTAAATATGAGAAAATTGCATGTAATTAGATAAATGATATTAAATTTCATCGTATAATCAAACTTTGTTATTTTTTTTAATAATATTTTGATTTTTAAAAAAATTGTACACGTAAAAACTTGTTCGTGCAATTTTAATTTCGCAACTCAGAAATTAAGTTGTCAATCCCAAGTTCAGATAAAAGGAGGGTTCTAAAATTTTTTTATAAAACATTTCAAATCTAATTTCAAAATTACAAATCTCAATTCCAAAACATGTTGATCGAGTCACAAGATTTTTTGTTTTGCGAGTTTTTTCTTACGAAGTACGGGTTTACCTGCTTCACTCTTCACGCAATCAAGTTGATTGCTTGGGGGAAGGAAGAGGGTGATGAGCACATACCTTGAAAGAAAAAGACTTGAAGATCTAAGATTCTTGACTCAATCAGAATGTTCTATACATCTTTATAGTTTACACATTTCAGATCTCAATTCAATTCTCTACATATTTATACATTTCTAATCTAATTTAAAATCTACTTTTAATGTTCACAAAGAACCAAGGGATGACAATGGTTAACTTGAAAGATCAAACAGTCTAGATATTTATCAAGATAATGAGAGAGAAACTCTGGCTGCTGATGTGTTAGCCGTTATCTGTGGTTCCCTATCATCTGAAGCTATGAGTATCGTCTTATGGCAAGAATTTTATAATGATATTATGATGTGTCAGATCAAGATCCAGGGATCCGTGAAAGGTCTTTTATAGCAATGCCTAGAGTATTCTTGGATTGGATCTGCTTAAGTCTCGATCGTGTAATGTAGTGTATTGTGATGTTAATGGAGGTGGAAGTGGCATTGAAGATGCTTGTGATGTAGAGACTGGCTCAGTTAATTGGAATGAGAGATCGAGATGTAAGATGGAAGAAGACTTTCCATCTCCTGATGTGAAGTCTAGTTGTGAATCCAATAGGAACATTGAGTTTGAAGCCTAGTCTTGATACATGCGAGGATAATCATGGGACTAGTTTTCTTGAATCTATGGATAATGTTAGGGCTGTCAATGAATTAGATTTTGATCCGAATCCGAAGAAATTAAAGAGAGATGGATTTAGGATCTCAATCAGATACCCCGATCAAAATTCGAATCCGATAATTCGTTAATTAAATGGA